GCGCCGGGCGCTGTCTCGCTTGACGCTCGCGCCGCGCGCTCGGCTACCCAGAATCAACAAGGTGTGCCCGGCTTCTGTGTCTATTTTTATATATGCTGTTTTGGTTGCTGTATTAGTCTTTTCTTATGCTGCTAATAAATACATACCTGAGACTGGGTAATTTATAAAGGAAAGACATTTAATTGACTCACAGTTCCACATGGCACTTTATGTCTTTTCTTTGGAGATTTTAATTCATTTACATTCAAGGTAATTATTGATATGGAAGGATTTTACTACTGCCATTTTGTTAATTGTTTTCTGCTTGTTTAATAGATCCTTTGTTTCCTTATTTTTCTCTTCTTTTATGATTGATTTTTCTCTATTGATTTTTTTCCTTTTTATCTTTTATTTACTGAAGGTTTTTGATTTGTGGCTACTCTGAAGCTTACAAAATATCTCGTAGTTATGACAGGCAATTTTAAGCTGATAGCAAGTTAGCTTTGCTTGCATAAACAAACTATGCTTTTACCTCGTCTCTCCTTCTGCATTTATAATTTTTGATGTCACAATTTACAGATTTTTATATTGTCTCCCTTAACAAATCATTGTAGATATTATTATTATTATTATTATTGTTTTTTGAGATGGAGTCTCGCTCTGTCGCCCAGGCTGGAGTGCAGTGGCGCGATCTCTGCTCACTGCACGCTCAGCCTCCCAGGTTCACGCCATTCTCCTGCCTCAGCCTGCGGAGTAGCTGGGACTGCAGGCGCCTACCACCATGCCGAGCTAATTTTTTGTATTTTTAGTAGAGACGGGGTTTCACCGTGTTAGCCAGGATGGTCTCGATCTGTTGACCTCCTGATCCGCCCGTCTCGGCCTTCCAAAGTGCTGGGATTACAGGCGTGAGCCACAGCGCCCAGCCAGCTTTTATTTTTTTTAACCTTCATACTATGTAAGTGAAGTGCACACCACCATTACAGTATTAGTGTATTCTGACTTGGTGTACTTACCTTTACCAGTGAGTTTTACACATTTATATGTTTTTGTGTTACTAAACAGCATCTTTTTCTTTTGGCTTGAAGAACTCTTTTCGACATTTCATGTAAGACAAATCTAGAGGATGAACTCTTTCAGCTTTTGTCTGGGAAAGTCTTTATCATTTCTGAAGGACAGTTTTTCTAGGTACAGTATTATTGGTTGGCAGTTTATTTCCTTCAGTACTCTGAATATATTTTCCATTCTCTATGAACCCATAAGGTGTCTGCTGAGAAATTTGCTCTCCTTATTGGAATGTATATCTTATTTACTTTTCTCTTGCTATTTTCAGAATCTCCCTTTTGTTCTTGATATTTGACAGTTTGAATATAATATGTCTTGGTGTAGTCTTGTTTGAATTCATCTGATTGGAGGCATTTGGCCTTCCTGTACCTGGATATTTACATATTTGCCCAAATTTGGATTGTTTTCTGTTCTTGTTTATGTAAGTTTTCTACTCTTTTGTCTTTCTCTTCTCCTCCATAAACTCTTATACCTTGACCATTTTCTCTTTGGATGCTGTCCCATAAATCCTGTAAGCTTTCCCCATTATTTTTCATTATTTTTCTTTTATTCTCCTCAGACTATGTATTTTCAAATAATTTGTCTTCAGGTTCACAGATTCTTTCTTGTACTTGATCAGTTATGTTGCTGATGTTCTCTATTGTATTTTCCATTTCTTTCATTACACTTTTCAACTCTTGATTTTTGTTTATTTATTTTCTTTTGTGTAATTTCAATGTCTCCGTAAAATTCTATTTTTTGTCATTTATTGTTTTCCTGATTTCATTGAATTTTTTTCTCTGTATGTCATTAATTTTATTCCCTGAACTTTCTCTAGACAATTAGTTTGAATTCTGTCAGGAAGTTTCTATATCTTCATTTCTTTGGGGTCAGCTATCAGGAGATTATTGTGCTCTTTTGGTAGTATTATGTCTCCTGGATTTTTCATGTTTCTTGTTGCCTTATGTTGATGTCTCTGCATTTGAAGGACTGGGAAAGACCTTAATCAGTCAGAATCAGAGATTCTGGGCAGGCTGTTTGGTGTGGTCCAAAAGCCTAAATCAGAAGTGTCAAAGTTTATATTTTTACCTGCTCACTAACCTATTTATCTGTTAGATAGTGTACTTAGAGATACATATATAGCACCATCTTTAAGTATTTTCAGACTTTAATATTCGAATATTTTCATTTATTTATTTTCAATTGTTCATTCTCATAGAGTCTAAAATAAGAAACTTTTTTATTTCCTCTAGGCAAAATTTATTCATAGTTGAGATTATACTGCTGCTGCTTGACAGTCTCATAGAGTTGTTTTGAGGATCAAATATTATAACATTTGAAATGCTTTAAAATGTGTTATTCAAATGTAAGATAAGATTCTGAAACATCAGATAAATTTTGTAAATGAAGTCCCAGTTTGGGGCATTGTGTTAATATTTTTCTAAAGCTGTTGTTTTATATATGAAGTTATTTTTTCCTCCACAAATACCAAGAATATTTAGGAGAGTAATTACTTAAGTTCTAATTTTATAAATCAAATCTCCCCTTTCCTCATAGTTCTGTACTTTTATAAGTAAGGAATATCTGTCTGTATTAGCTTATTAGTCTATTACCTTTGTCAATTGGGAAAGAGTGGGGAATGAGAACCATATGCTTCATTAGGCTATCGTTTTAGTTTCAGTGTAACTTTAAATAGCGTTGGATGGGAATATGTAAATATATTAAAACAGCACATTATATTTGACCTAGTTAATGGTCCAATCTTTTGACTGTCAGTTCTTTAATTTTTTTGGTTTGTTTTGTATGTTTAAGCAACTAATAATTTCTTGAATAGTTTTCATGAGGACTTAGTTGTTAGTTTTGAAATGTGTTGCAGATTATACAGGTAAATGAAATAATTGTATATTTCTCTTATTTAGCAATTACAGAAGAATCACCTTTGGATGAAATTACTTCAGACAGAAAGTTATCAAGTATAGCAGGATGCTATCTAAAATATAAGAAGAAAAACAGTTTATCTTCCAAACTCCCTGAACCTTCAATATCCAAAAAGTTAAATAACAAAAGCAACCAATATTATAGCAAAATTATGGAGAACGATGACCTTGAATCTAAAAGATCAAAAAATACTTGGCAAATAAGAAAATTTCTGGATGGGGTCAGCAGCAGTAATGTAGGAGTCCAAGAACCATATTCAAAGAATGGCATAAACTTTAAAAAACATTCAGAGAAGGGTGAAATTCATGACTCAAAGTCTAAACCACAAAACTTGAAGAGTAGTACAAGCCTCAGTAAGTCGCTGGATAAAAGTGATATTTCTAGTATCCCAAAACTTCAGAAGCCAACTGTAAGAAAGCATTCCAGCCTCCTAAAGCAGGTTTCGTCTACAGAAAAAACTGCAATTAATACTCTGGGTAAATATTAATCTAGCTTCTTGAGTTCTTCAGTCATCAAAGAAATGAACAGAATGTGTCAATTATTAGATAGTTGTAAGCATTTCAATTGTTAACACCCTGGGTAACCACCGCTTCTTTTTTTTTTTAATTTTAAAATTATTTATAGACACAGGGTTGCCCAGGTTGGTCTCAAACCCCTGGCCTCAAGCAATCCTCCTGCATTGGCCTCCCAAAGTGCTGGGATTCACAGGCGTGAACCACCATGCCTACGCAAAAATTCTGGAAACGTACAGTAGTGATGGTGGTACACCTTTGTAAATGTGATTAATGCCACTGAATTATATGTTTGTTTATTACTTATTTTTTGAGTCAGAATCTCACTCTGTCGCCCAGGCTGGAGTATAGTGGCATGATCCTAGCTCACTGCAGCCTCGACCTTTTGTGTTCAAGTGATCCTCCCACCTCCTCAGCCTCCCGTGTAGCTGGGAGCATAGGCGCATGCCACCACACCCAGCTAGCTTTTTTTTTTTTCATAGAGTTGGGGTCCCACTATGCTCCCAAGGCTGGTCTTGAACTTCTGGCCCTAAGTAGTGCTCCCGTCTTGGCCTCCCAAGGATCTGCGATTACCGGCATGAGCCGCCAAGTCTGGCCTGCCACTTCTGACACATAGACCAATGGATATAATATTGTGATTTTGATGATAATTCCGTTTCAGATGTCCTCTTTAGGGAGGAGTTTAACTTTTCCTGAGAAACTTATTCAGTGATTAATTGGAGTCATTAATATTCCCTAGAAAGTAGAAGGCCTGGCTTCTTTTGGAAATGTTTATTTTGTAATTTATTAAATATTTAAACAAGTAGGAAATCTATGTGAAATTTTTGCTTAGAGTGCTGTAATTTAAATATATAATATAGTACTTCAGGTATTATCTCTTATGGAAGGAGAATATCAGGAAAAAATAATACTATATATCTAGGTCTCCAAGTCTTTATGATTTTTCTCAAAGATAAGCAATGGTTTCCCAATCAATATATTTTCTCTCTCTGTATTTCATCATAGAAGCAGTGTGTATGGAACCCAATTAAAGATTTCTTGTAGTCCTCTGCTGAAGTTGCTTAAGTCATATTTATTTATTCTCTTTTAAAAACTCACTGACTTTCATATCACATTTAGTATTTAATGTAATAGATAAAATGATTGTTTAGTGAAAAATTTGTGATTCATACCTTAGTGCAAATTCAAATAACTCAATGGAAAAAAGGAATGTGATCTATTAAGGAGGCACAGTGATGATCATCCTGTTTCTGATTCCTTTACCAAGGCACTGCTGCTACTTTGTGCCACATTTGTATTTCTGAGAGTTATTTTTATTTCAATAAGAATTAAAACCTTGGGTTAAAGGAATAATGAAACAGCAGACAGACATGGGTAGAAGAGGCTGTCAGAAGAAAGTGGTATCTACCTTTCTCGTGTCACTAAAATAAAATGATGTCACCTACCACTGCCATATTTAATGTTCTGAATATAGAGAAGTATGAGATAGTTTATCTGGCATAACTTCCCAAAACAAATTGATGGTAATTGGAATTTTATGGAATATGACTGCCTGTATGATTTACATTAAAAATTCTAACTTTTCACTTTTAAATAATTTTACTTTCTTAAGAGTCACAAAAGTAGTACAAACATTTCCATCAGGACATGATCTAAACCAGGAAATTAACACTGATGCAATACTGCTTACTGATCTACAGACCTTATTCAAATTTTGTCGTTTTTCCATAAATGTTCTTTTTCAATTCCAGAATCTAATCCAGAATTACCCACTACATTTAGTTGTCACTTTTCCTTAGTCTCCTTCAATCTGGGATGCTTCTTCAATCTTTCATGACCTTGATACTTTTGAAGAGTATTGACTAGTTGTCTTGTATAATACCTTTCATTTTGGATTTTTCTTTTATTCCTTCGTGAATAAATTCAGATTATGCATTTTTGGTCAGATTACCTCAGAAGTGATATTGCAACCATCTCAGTGCATCATAGTAAGAAGCACATGACGTCTACGTGTATTTGCTTCTAAGACTTTATTTTTTGAAGGTTATGAACTGAAAACATGATAGAGTAAATTAATGGGAGGGTGAAGAACTCTACAGTTATGCTTGGAATTTTTCAATTTAAACAAAACATTTTGGTGTTTTTATTTCTTGGACTCATTAATTTTACACACACACATATAAACACACACACACACACACTCAGGCTGGAGTGTGATCTCAGTGCACTGCAACCTCTGCCTCCTGGGTTCAAGTGATCCTCCTGCCTCAGCCTCTTGAGTAGCTGGGGGTACACACATGCGCCATCACGCCCAGCTAATTGTTGTATTTTTAGTAGAGACAGGGTTTCACCATGTTGGCCAGGCGGGTCTCGAACTCTTGACCTCGAGTGACCCACCTGCCTTGGCCTCCCGAAGTGCTGTGATTACAGGCAGGAGCCACCATACCTGGCCCCATTAATTTTATTTTAATCAGAAGCCAGCAGCATTGGCTGGGCCACTGAAACAGGCTGTTCCCCCAAACAAGTAGATTATATAGGTTTATAGAATGTTAAGACAGTTCTGTGTTTGAGCTATAAGAGAAAGATTAAATATAATGTTATACAACAGATATATGGAAAGAAAAGCAGTCCTATAAAATCTATAAGGTAATATAAAATAGATAAAACTTCTTTAATTTCTACAGATTTTGGGTATTAATTATTGCTTTTGACACATGAATTCTGTTGCCTAATTCTCTACATTTTGTATATTTAGAAAACTTCTGTGAAGCTATCAGTAAACTTCAAGAAAATTACATTTCAGCAGAAGGACTTCAGTCTATTTTGCCTTCAGTAGGAATTACTTTATTAGATAAAGAATTCCAGAAGATTGTGACAGACACTAGTAGAAATGGTGAGAGACTGATAACACTGAAGTTTCTGAGAAAGTTAGGTATTTTTATGGGATAGTATTAAATATTGGAGGAATTCCTCTCAATTAGAAATTAGGAATGGGTCATTCTAAAGAAAATTCAGATATAAAAATAGAAAATAGTAAAAAAAAAAAAAAATCATGTAAGTTCTGACCAAATGGATTGGTTTGGAGCGTGTAGGCCTTTCATATTTCCGGATCATTTCAGTAAAGCTCTTCATCACTATCCCCTAGCTGTGCCTATTAATAGTAGGGTGGTACTGGGGAGACTGATCCAGTTGTAGCAAGGTTCAGACAGTAAGATCGAAATATCTAAGGGGTATGGAAATCTCTATGCAAATAACCCAAGGATCCAAAGATTAATAATTGGAGATTACAAAATATGGGGGAATTTAGAGCCAGGTATGCTTAGCAGTTAACATTTAGATGTTGAGTGGCGTATCCCAGTTGCCAGCCTAAGTTAAAAGCAGAGTTTAAGTTTCTAGGAAGGGTTTTTATACTAGAGAAGTTATTTTTATCAGTGACTAAGACTTTTCCACAACCGAAGTTCAATTGAGGAGTGGAAGGAGGTGACATTTTGGGGAAAGACTGATTTGAGAATAACATTAAAAGTGAATCCTCAGAATCAGGGCACAATTTCTTAGCTAAGGTAAATCAGAAAGAAGATTCACTTAAAAATTATATAAAGAGTGGGTGGCACTAAAACTATTGAGTCCTTTTTGCTTCTTATCAGGATTGACATGATCACTGTGAGGGTTTATATCTAAACATAGGTAAAACTTTGGACCACATGGATACTAGGGAGATAGAGATGGGGATACTTGGTTTTGTCAGGGCTGGTTAGTATTGTTAAGGTGTTTTAATGGATAGCATATTGAGTGGGTTTTCAAGATGGTATGAAATAGACTCCTTAACTCTCTCGTGGTCTGTCTGTATGGATATGTTTCTTTTTTCCTAGATCTATTAAGAAATTAGTATCTAACTCAGTCCTTTGCATGTAATAGATATTGAAAAATCAGGGACTGTGTCTTTCTTATTTTTGTATTCTTGGTGCCTAGCATGGTTCTTGGCACTAATATGCTCCCAATAATTGTCCAAATGAACTGACCTAATCTAGAAAGAATTATAAGAGACATGACATGAAGGAGAAATAGGATGATGAAATGAAGGATCAAGTAAATTTTAAAAATAGTTGTGTTAAAATGTAAATTTACCTGTATGCAAAAATACACCAGAATGTATAATCTAAACTCTTTTTTTAAAAACAGAGAATGGAATGGTGGAGTTAGATGACTTTATAAGTACTCTCGCCAACGAGCAAAGTTTTCCTGAATGCAATGGTAGGTAGGAAATTTGTTTTAAAATGATTTAGAGGGAAGAACAGTGCTGATTGAGAAGAATTAGGTTCAACAGAACTGGGCTTGCTTTTGGATGGATACTTAATAGTCCTGTGACTCTTAGGCAAGTCAGTTGCCAGTTTTTAAAAACTTGCTATATCAGAGTAATAATAGCTCAGGTGTTCACCTCACACAGTTGTCATGTGAATTTTGCAAACTGAACAGTGATCCATTAATATATGGCAATAATGATCATGTGGAGATCAAATAGGTAATTAGTAACATTGATTAGGAATTGATGGGTGATATGTTTGTTTGTTTGTTTGTTTTTCCCCAATGGACTTCTTT